TTACTTCCAACCCTTTTTTTTTTTTTTTTTTGTAAAGCTATAACCCTGCTAGTGCCAATTTTAATTTCTCTTTACAGAATCAATTATAGGAGGAGCAGAATTTATTTTTTTTCTCATTTTAAATGGAAGACGAAATTAGGAAGAACTACATGTAGCATATTTACTTGTGGCCAACATTAAAAACAGCAGCCTCAGTCTTTCCAAAAGATGGACATTTCCAAATCCACTATGCTCTATAAAGGAAAGCTACTTGTCTGTAATACAAGTAGCTTTCCTTTTATCGTCTAAAAGTGTGGCTCTCTCTCACTGTTTCACAGTCACAACTGTGTGCTGTATAAAACACTCTAGATGGATTTTTAAATCTCTGCCCCAATTTCATTTTTAGAAACGCCTCACTTGACCTTTTGAGTCTGCGCTCAGCAACGGCATCCACACTGAAGGCTGTTGCTGTAATAACGAACCTGGAAACAGCCTGGTTCAGTAATCAGAGCTAGGCTACATTATTGGCTTTCCAATCGGCGGATCAAATTTAAAATCAGAAAAAATTTCTTGGTTCATCTCTAGAAAAAAAAAAAGCGTCCAACCTCCGTGGTACACCATTTAAAAGAATATATTTTACATTTCTCTTCAAGAAATAGTCAATAAACACGTCCTGCTTTTTAGTACAAGAGCACAGGATTAATCACTAACCATGGTTACAGAGAGAAACAATTGTAGTGTCATTAAATTCAAACTACCAACATATTAAAAGCTTGTAGTGCCAAATTCAGGACTGTACTCCTCAAGTACAAAGAAACATCTTCAGAATAATAAAAATATTTAAATAAGTGCAGCCACAGTAATAAATATTAAATAGAGTAGCAATTAGAATGTAAGCATGACACTCTTCAGGCCTGGAGTGTGTATGTGTGTGTGAGCACATTCACTGTCCTGCCGAAGACGTACAACTCAGATGTTTAGACTTCCAAATCTGTCTCAATAGTGTGCCAGCTTCAGCATAAGCGCGTCTGTAAAATATGTAAAACACCCGAATGGCAATAAAAAGGTGCGTGTAGAAAGGTTTTGCATATGTAAAAAAGATAATGGTCGAGGCCTCAGGAGAACAGCAGTTCCTGGAGCCCTGAGGATGCGGTCGAAGCTAGAAGTCCAGATCGGGCTGAAAATCACCTTCGCGTATCCCTTCCTAAATTCATCTTTTAACTACACACGAACTCTAAACCCCCTTTTTTTTTCTCTCTAAAACCTAAATCTAAAACTCTCCTGTCTGTCTAGCTCAGCGCATCTCCTCAGGCCCAAGTTCTGGCAGAAGGAAAAGCTGGAAATCAGAGAAGACGGTGCGACTCCCCCCTGGCTGTGTCTTATATAATGTGCTATAGTAACATACTGGAGAGGAATCTAGTAATGGTTAGCAGGGAGTGGTCACAGGATCAGACGTTAGCCAGCTCCTCAGCTTCGTCTCTGTTTTCGTTGATCTCAGCCAAAGTCCTGACGAAACGCGTCCACTCGTCGGCTTTGGGAACGCAGATTTGCTGTTGGAAGACAGAAAAGAACGTCGGGTTAAGTTCTCAATAACAGCTGATTTCTAGAGTGACGTCTGAAAGATTTTTCCAGAATAGTTTGGGGCTTTTAGATATAGTTCTTCCTCCCAGGTAGAACAATGATGATGCAACAAAGAATGAATTTTTAAAGGTTAAATGTCCCTTCGCAAGTTGTAGGGGCAACACACACACACACACGCTTTCTGGCATAAGTCTGGCTAGAAAGAGTGTGTGTAATGGTAGTGCTCCTTTCAGTTAGTCGGTCTCCTGAAACGTAACAAACTCAGATGAAAAGAAATTCCTGAGGATGTTCCAGAACAACAGAAACCACAAAATGGTCAAATGTATACTGCGGAAAATCCTTAAACCTCGATGCCAGATTGTTCAGCTTCACTTCAAGTCAAAAGCTGAAATCAAACTCGGTTTCCCAGCACCGTTCCTGAAGATTTTACAGCGAGAGGCTGAAAACTCAAACTCACCTCCCCTACGTCGTACACCTGCACCTGTCCGTCTGAGTCTCCGGTGGCGATCTCCTTTCCAGAGTGAGACCATCTCACGCGGTTCAGGGCCGAAGACCCTTCCACACACACACTCGCAGTCGGAACCTAAAACGCACACACAATCGTTCACTCAGAAGGAGCATAAACTACTATATTCCAGGCATGAGTGTCTGCGACGCGTTCGCCGGGTTAAAAAGGCAAAACGGTTAAAGTTTCGTAGCCCAAAAAAACGGATGAGCACTGTGTGCGTACTTCGGTGTCGTTGTTGAGGTTCCACAGATCCAGCCGTCCGGACAGATCCACGCAGGCGAACAGAGCGGGATGCGCCGGAGACCACATCGAGTCGTAGACATAGTCGGAGCTGTCCTCGAACGAGTACAGAGGACGGGTGCTCTGCAGCGGAACAATCACGAGAAATTTAGCGAAGGAGTTGTGTACAGAAAAATCAAAACCCGCAAGTCGGTGCGTCTGTGACCAGCGGGATGTCTGACCTTTGTGCTCCACAGTTTGACGGTCCAGTCAAAAGAGGAGGAGATGAAGAGGTGAGAGAAATCAACAGGTCCTGCAGCACTGTGGCAGCTCAGTCCAGTCACAGGACCGTGGTGGCCTTCAAACACCTCTGTGATGCCTGCCTTACTGCAGCACACGCGAGAAAGGAAAACGACTTCACAAGGGCCTTACCGGAACGTCCGTCGCTCATAAAGGAACCGCTTTTCCGAAGGCCTCACCTGCCGTGACGACAGGCGGTGTAGACCGAGCCGTCCTCGCTGCCCACCACAAAGTTATTCACATCCCCCAGAGGAAACGCCATGGACGTCACGGCCACCGCCTTGCTCTGTTTGAACACCAGCTCCAGGCTGTCCTGCGGGCCAGACACGGGCAGCTTTAGACCCCTCGGATCCTCTCCCAACAGCATCTCTGCGGTCGCGAGCGCGGCAAACCTGCGGCTGGGAGAGCATGTCCAGACTCCAGGAGCACATCTTGCCGTCGGTGGAAATGCTGATCAGGTTGTGAGCGTTCTGGGTTCCGACGACGTTCACGCAGTAGACCGGGTGCTGGCGGAAATACACAAAACTTTCAATAAAAGCGGCTGAGATTTGAAGAGGTGGAGGGAGGTGCAATGAGGAGCGTTACCGTGTGCGCCGACGCCGACAGGGGAGTTCTCTGAACAGGAGTGCGTTTGTTGCTTCTGTTGTCCCACAGGACTATCTGTCCGGAATAAGTCCCACCCACCACCAGGTTAGGGTGAAACTTTGCGAAGCCAGCCGACATCACCTCAGACTGCAAGCAAGGCGACACAACAGAGTCTCTAAACGCATCCTTCTTCTCAGACTGCAGGGACTCTTTGGAGAGCACGCGGAGCACTTACCTGGCAGTGGAAGATGTACTCTGGCGTGGCCTTCTTGTACTTCATGTTCCAGACTAGAGCCACGCCGTCCGGCTCGTACGGAGCGTCCTCGTTGTTGTTATACGAGGCAACCAGCAACTCTGGGTACTGAGACAATCAGAGCAGCGGGAAGACGTTAAAGTGAGACCAAAACAAGTTCTCTCCCAAAGCCGACTGGCGCGAAACGGTTTTCTTTCAAAGCGTCAAGGTACGTTTCAAACTACCGGTCCGGGTTTTCTGCAAAATACATTAAACTCTTATATGTAGTTTGTCAGCTACAAAATGACACGTCAGTTTTTGACTGGGATAAAATCTCCCCTCCCAAAAACAAACTCTTTATGTCCACAAGTCATAAGATGGCTAATCTTTTATATGCATGTATAGCTTTGCCTATAGATTCAGATACACACAAAATAAAGTTAGTTGTTTGTTTAAACTCCTGCTGTGGAAATTTATCATTAATTACACAATTTGTTTGGCCAAACCCTAACCCTAGGCATTCATCACATCGTTTATCAATTATCGTGATAAATATTTAAATTTATCACCGTCATGCCGAAGTCCAATTAATGATGCGGATTTTCTTTGCTGTCTATTCAATGAGAGAGTCAATAATTATCGATAAATTTGAAAATATGACTAAACGCGTGCAGTCTGGTCATACAAATCGCACTTCTTCATGTGACTGGCGTCCTAAAGAAGCACGTTACAAATTGGTTTATTTTTCAAGAGCAGTATTTGTGTTTATGGGGCTCTGATTGCTATACCACACAGTTACCTAAAAAAAATCTTATCGTCGCTTTTGTTGTTATCACAATGGTGCCACAAAATATCACGATAAAACCTTAAGTCCATATCGCCCACCCCTAATCTCCTGTATATTTGTTGGTAAAAAATACACCAATGGAAAGTCTCTTTAACAGTATTAGTACTTAGAATCTTGCCGCAGCAGGTGATTTGTCCGAATTCATCCCACCTGAGGTGACCAGTCGAGGCAGGTCACCACTCGGTTCTTGGTCCAGCGCTCATCTGCAAACTGTCTGTTCTGAACCAGTTTCGCTCCTGCCTGCAAGTCACTGAAAAGGGCAGGAAAAGAAAAAAAACATTAAAATGTTAACAATTCCAGCAAAATTACCGTTCGATGTCTGTGAGGTCGCTTTGCCCTCATGCCTCACCCTTCCTTATCCTCCAGATCCCTCCCGCTGTAGTCGAAGCAGACGTCCACCTGCTCGGCCAGAGCTCGCTCCACGATCCGGCTGCCGCGCTCGAAAAACGACAAGAACTCGTCAGAGTGAAGGACCTGCAGCTTCTCTTCCTCTGTCAGCTCCTTGGGGGCGTCTGCGCACGGAAACATAAACGTTACAGGAAGGGAAATACAGAAAGGGCTCTTTTTGTTTTGTAGGCAACACGTTGTGCTCGTCATAGATCGATTAAGACTGGAACGTACACTAGGAGAAGAAAACGGTTCAAACAAGTAGCGATTAATAATAACATAAATTAGACACAAAGTTAAAATCAGAAAAGGAAAAAAAAGAAAAATCTGAAATCCCTTCAGGTTTTTTTTTTTTTTTTTTTTTTTTTTGCAGAAGTCTCTTAATCTCTAGCAGCCTGAATCAGGAGCAGCTAATGGCTTCTTTTGACGTAGCTTTTGAGACCCTCTTGGTTTAAATTTCAGAGCTACATCAATGGGGAAAACTCTCCTTGTTAGTTATTGGTAACAGGTAACATGAATGTTTTGTAATTTAATAAACAGAACACCAATTTCTGTTTTGCTACATAAAATGACGCCTGGATTCTACAAAAAACATAACAAAAGAGAAGCAATGAATGATTTCATGGAGAATATCAAGATGTTACTACAGTTTAGGAACTATTATGAAAAACCTCAACCTAATTGGCACATAAAATTGAAATTCATCTCATGACTTGTTTATACCCTGCAGAAATCCTGCAGAACGTAGCGCGATCTCTGATCGGAAAAGATCGGATTTTTGAGGTTCCGACCAGGGAGTCGACCGATCAAACTGAAAATTGTCCAATTCTGGGTCAGCAAGCAAATTTTTTTTTCCTGTACGCCTACATAACCCGCTGTCCTCACCTTCCTCCTGCTGTTCGCTCTGCTCATTTTTCTCATCCTGGGCGTCCTCTGTGAGCGGGGGAGCGCTTATCTCCTCATCCTCTTCTTCGTCTAGACACAGAACGCAGATCGCCGTAAATCAACTTGAGCAAAGGGAAACAAGAACAGAAACGCCACGCCAGCGGTGAGTTACCCGCTTTCTGATCCGTGTGAGCCGACGCCTCTGTGGGCGTCTGCGTCTCCTTGGAGTAGGACACCATTTCCTTCGGGACAAAATCCACCTGGATGAGTTTGGACATCCCAAGTCTCACCGTTCCACGTCTACACGATTGGAATAAAAATGAAGTTTGAATTATTAGACTGGAAGTAGGTAAAAAAAAAAAAAAAACATAAATCTATATACTACATTTTAAATCTTTTCTCAAATGGACATAAACAATGGTATACAGACAAATTTAATGCAAAAAGCTAACACGTTTGGACAAATCTAAGATGAAAGCACAAATAGTCGGAAGACGAGCTAAAGGAAAGAGGAGGAGCAGTACCCCATCAGCTCAGAGTCGGAGTGGAGTTGCAGAGTGGAGGGGTCAGGATCCCAATGCAAAGTCCTTATACAGCCAAATCACCAGACGGTGTTAGTAAAGAGAAATGCAGGACAGAGTAAACAAGAGAAACGCAAACAAAGATGAAGGGCCAAAACATATCAGATGTTAAAGATGGGAAAGACGGGGAAATAATAAAAACAAACAAACAAAAAAAAAAACAGAGCGAGAAAGACCCGGAAACAAAAATGAAATGGGATTAAACATTAGCGTGGTGGCGAGAAGACATAGAGAAAGGTCAGAATTTATTCATGTGTCGTTACAAAGTTTACACGCACACACACACACACACGCACATAAAATTCCATGCAGGTACTTGTAAAAAAAAATTAACAAAAAAACAATATAAAATAAAAGCAGCAAATTCAACCTCTTATGTCTCAAACAAACAGACTCCCACACAGACCTTGGTCCTGCGTTTCCATCCCCGGAATCTTGGCTTCCAGCATCGCTGCCCACTGATTTGTTGGAGGGAGACATGGGGGCGGGGACTAGGTAGTGAAACAGACACGTATCTTCTGTTACTACCCTCAGGGGCTGAGCTGTGAACGCGTGTGCGTTTCGCAGTACGTGACCAACGGATGAGTGAGTAAGTGAGTGAGTGAGTGAGTGAGTGAGTGAGTGAGTGAGTGAGTGAGTGAGTGAGTGAGGGAGTGAGGAAGACAGTGAATGTTTGAAGGGGGGGAGACGGGGCGGGATGCGCGTGGAGGAGTGAGTGGATGAGTTTTCATGCAGCAAGGAGGACAAAACACAAGAGGACAGACAGAGGGGAGAGAAGAGAGAATGAAAATAAATGGCAGGCAGGTTTTAAGGTGTCATGCGCAAAACACATAACATGTGCACATATTTGTGTGTGTGTGTGTGTGTGTGTGTGTGTGTCGTGGAGAGGAAATGAGAGTGATATAAAAGCTGGGCAAAACAAAAAACAAAAACATTAAGACAGACATTTTATAAAAACGCTCCAAAAGACATCAAGCGAATGGCCAGAACAAGATGAGCTGTTAAAAATGACGGTTTGGGATAAAGGAGCGAGACGACACTGTACATTTACCGTGCGGGACGTCGGGGGTGATGCCAACGCTCTGGAGAAGGGCCTCGGCTTCTCTCCTCTTCCTCTCCAGATCCGAGTCTTCGCCGCCAGCCGGCCCCGCCTCCGCGCCACGCTTGGATTCTCCCTGCGGAGAAGGAACAGGCTCACCGTCAGCATGGCAACGTCTTCGCAACGTAGCCGCTAAAGCGACGAGGCGTCCCTCACATCCTTCTTTTTTTTCTCCTCTTCTTTCCTCTTCTTTTCCTCGCGGATCTGGGCGATCCGTTGCTTCTTCCTCTCCAGCTCAGCCTTCAGCTCGCTCTTGTCAGACATGCTGCAAACGAGGGGAAGACCATCAGCAAAGAAGCACTAACCACACAACATGCAATAATATATTTGTCACATTATGTTGCACCAATTAACTGGTCATTGAACAAAATTGGACAAGATTTTTTCCTTGAAAATTCTCCAATAAAAGGTTTGTGGACAAATGCTTACATGTATAAATAGAGAGAATTTTGCAGTTGTCTCAGTTTCTACTCAATGCAAAACCACTGACTCTAAAGAAATATCTCTTTCCAGTCACAATAAGTGTTAAAACATCTAAATTCAATATTTTGAATTAAACCAAAGTTTACACAAATATGTTTCCGTGTTTGAAAATCTAATGTTCAGCCTAGTTAAATAAACATATTGGGAGTGCATGCAGTGCAATTTAATTATGAGGCAAAGACATTGTTTAAAATGAGTTTACTACTGCTTCTTAGGAATGTATCACATATTAGTAAAAAAAAAAATCATTAACAGATATTGTGATGCACAAATATATAAACACACAAAAGATATCAAACATAAAACAAGCATGATGGCTGTGGTTCAAAACAAATTTTATGGTAAATGACATTTTAATTTAATTATCGTAATTTATTTATTTTATTTTACTATACAAATGTCTTATGTCATTGTTCCAGTTTTTCTCTGTTTTTTATTTAAGTACATCGTAGCCCTGGGCCTGTCACACTGGTAACATGTGGGAAAAGCTGCCTGCAGTTGGAAACAATGTCCTCTTTATCTGCTTGATTAACACCATAGATCAACCAGGGGTGTATTATTTTTATTAGAAATATAGTAAGTACAATAAGCTATAATAATAAAAAAAAATCGGAAGCTTCTTAAACAATATTATAACATCCACAAATAATTATATTAAAGTTTAACCCTGCTGGTATTTAATATGCTAAACTCACTCCACCCACTGCTCAAAATAACTGCAGACAAATCAGGAAAAGTAGCAGCTGTGAGCATTTTTATCGTCTCTCTTTGCAATAACTCGCCGATTTGAATCGCGTTTTATCATAATCTCTGGTTAGCGGGGCTAATGTGTTTATAATCCAGCTGGCGGCTACACCTCCAAACCGGACAGCTAGCCGTGCTAGCATGCTAATCTCCATGGTAGCCCCGGCTGCGGGCCTACTGTCACAATACTAACTACAACCGCAACAAAGCGACGGGACAGCTTTACTGTTTTCTGTCTCCAGACCAAAGGGATAAAATGCCACAGTCAAGAGGAAGTAATTCAATACCTGGTGTCGGAAGTTAGGTTTAGGTGCCGAAGTGAAGAAAGAATCCAGTTTTGTGGCCGCTTATTCCCAAGAAAAGATGATGGAGGGTGGAGATGATGATGCTGGAAGAGGCTGCGTCGATCTTCGTCTTTAATGGTTGAACGCAAAACAGCAGGAGAGAATTACCGCCCTCTCCTGGTGGAGTGAAGACATTCTTACCAAAATAGTTATTCACTTTTTTTGTCATTACTTTCCACTTTTTTTCTTTTTCTTCAAATGTGTAGGAATTTGTGTAATTTGTGTTTAAAAATCTCGTGCAAACAAAAATCGGAGGTATTCGTCAGCTTCTCGTGTCTTGAGATCTTGACTTTCTCCTCTGCAAAAATGCTCAAGCTCATTTAGATTGGAGATAACGAGTGCTGCCTGTTGCTGTGATAATTTGCCTTAACAACTTTAGGAAAACTCCCCCATGACTACCATGGTTTCATGCACAACGGACCGTCTTAGAGACACTGATGTCCTGACATACCGTACCTTGCAAAACATATTAAAGTTGTAGTTTCCTGTTACACATAGATTTTTTTTTTTTGTCTAATCTATGAGTTAGAAGACGTATCTTACACATTGGAAGAAAAAGATAAAAAATAGAAGTTGCTAGAATTAAGACATTGCTTTATTTTACTGCTATATAAAATATAAAGGGATGTTCTGTCAACTGCATAGAAATAAAAACCCCTGTAAAGGCATTTATCTGATAGGCATTTTTATTCATTTATGTTTTCATGTGAACAGAGGTTATTGTGCATTGGTCACTCACATTGTACAGGCACTGTACTGTTTTTTTTTTTTTTTTCATCTGAGAAATTGTGTAATATTTGCAGCTTAACCTGCATTACTGAACCATACTCTTGTTTTGGTCTGGCTGTCGATCGATTTGAACAGTCTGTTTTTATTGTGGATCCGGAGCTGGCTCAGCATAACGGTAGGGGTCATACAGGTCACTTTGGAAGTCATAAGGGTCAAAATAAGGGCCGGGCCTCTTCTTTTTAGCTACATTTAAAACAACAGGAACATTCCCTTCATCTGTTGTTTCTTCGTCTGGTGCTACAGGGGATGATGCTTCCTGCGCAGGATGGGGAGGCTGGTCGACGAGGCAGTCTGGATCCCAGTACGGGTCACAGTCGTATTCCATCCCCTTCTTGGTGACCGGTGGAGGGACGGGTGGGACAGCCTTTCCAGGAGCAGGAGTGGCTGGTGTTGGTTGAGATGGAGTAGTATTTCTAACCCCCTCTTCTTTTGTAGCACTGCATGCAAGGTTGAGTCTGGGGTCACACAGTATTGGGACAGCTCCCGTCGGCAGGTAGACAATCCGAGGTTTGCACAGAGGGTCCCTGGGGTTGCACAGATAGAACTTCTCAGCGTTCTCCAGCGGGTCTGGAGTGGGAGCCGGGGCGGTGGGGGGTGCAGGAGGGCGAGTTGTTGTAGCTGGTACTGCGGTGCTGGTTGCAGCACCCATTTTGTTTTGGTAGCTGGCAGCGTCGGGCCCATAGTTCAGCTCCAGGTGACGCATCTGCTGATACAACATCCGGATCCGGTCTATCTCATAAAGCTGAAACCAAGAGGGACGTTAGAGGAAAAATGTAACATTGACGCAGATAAAACCCATGAAATACAGCGATCGTTCAAGATTATTTCAATCAGGGCTCTGAGTGTCGTCAACTTACTCCTTCAACGTGTCCGATGCTGTTGTAGAAGCTGTAGTAGGACTGAAAGTCGGGGTCACTTTGGTACCATTTAGGATCAGCGTTCCTCTTGGGTCGAAAGTTCGCCAAGAAATCGTTGGCTTTAGCGGAACCGATCCGGACAGGATTTCCTTTGGAGGGGGAAAGAGGATTGTCGAAGACAAAATGAAAATTGGTTTAGATTTCATATTTTTTTTAAATTACAGATAAAATCTTTAGGTGGACTTGAGAAATGTACTCATGTTAAGGTATTTCTTTTATTTTCACTTTCACACATGAATCTGATCACGGTTTGAAATGATAGCAGATGAAATACCATCAGGGGGCTTTACTTTCGTCAGAGACGTTGCTCCTATGAAACCTAAAGGGACGACAGGTATTTTAAGCTAAGCGCCAAAAATAAAAGAAAATGAAATTAAAGATTCAGTAAACACATGTGACTACATGAACAAGACTTCAAGATAAGCAGAAAACAAAGGCAGTCAAATGACTCTAAGCTTGAATAAAGACAAAGATTCTTGTGTCTTATTTGTTTTGTTTTTTCTTTTATGCTTAAAATCTTTTACATGCATTTAAAGGCGGTTTATTTTTGCAGGACAATATAGGAATTATACTAATAATCTTACTGACAGACCTGGCATTACCAGCAGGCAGCAGAGTTTTCTCAATAATGAAGCCAGGAAAACCATCTCTGACATCTGGAATTACATTAGCACACCAATAAATTCATATAATTTCACAATTTGTTTTCTATCAGTGTTCATCAGAGTTTGTCCCAAAAAAGTTAAAAACATCTCTCTCTCTCTCTCTCTCTCTCTCTCTCTCTCTCTCTCTCTCTCTCTCTCTCTCTCATTTTTTTAAAGCATGATTTCACAATAAATGTAGCGCGCTTACCTTTTGCTCCATCTTCATGTTTCTGCTCTCATCCTCAGCTGCACATCACTGGACATCAGAATCGCCAAGGAAAATCGGGCCTTCTGATTGGATGGCTTGCCAAAGCCAGAGGGCCAAACTCCACCCATTCTGCATTTTTTCTTCAAATGGGTTGGGGTGGAGGGGGATTCATTAGACCAGTGCACATAAAACACCAGCATATTACCAGCTTCAAACAAAATAGGAGCTCCCATAAAGCAACAAGAGTGCTGTTGCAGCAGAAGAGCCACACGCGGCAAAGGTAGCTCAGCTTCTTTGCGAGACCTTCTTAAAGCGTACGACTGACAAAGAGAGTCACTCAAGTGTCATAGTCAATAAAAATAAGAAAGTAAAACAATTATGTTGGAGAGAAACACGTATTTTATGCCTGCTTCAATGGGTTGATTGTGTCCCGCCATCAGAGATTTCCCCTACAGGTAACAATGTTCTCCCTGCGAGGTACACAGCTGGACATGGCTTTTTAACTGCGGTTAAAAGGGGGGAGAAGCTGAGTCAACTATAGTGTAAGTTGCCTGGAAATATGCAGGAATAATGGGTTTGCACAAAGAACAAGCCAATGTAACACAGGTTGGTACATTTGTTTATGAATCCCGAACAACTTGCTTTAATCAAAGTATTTAAAATAAAAGATGAATGATATGAACCCTATTAAATGATCCAACATTTAGGCCATTATGTAATTTTTTTATTTTTTATTTTTTACATTTGCCCCATTACGATCACAAGCCTTAATTTAATTTACTAGGATTTTAGGTGATGGACTGGCACAAAGTGGTGCTTAGTCCTGTTTAATCTTGGAGTATAGGAGAAAATTATTCTGTTTTATTTACTCTGTTCATGTGGTTCAACCCCACCCAAATGGGAGTGTTGCAGAAACTCATTAACTAGTTGGTCAGCCCAATCTCTTTGATGTTAGAAAGTCAATAGAAAGTGACTCTTTGTGTAGAATCTTCCAAAACACGACTGCCTGTGATTTGCTTTTTGATTGTAACCCGATTCCCCATTTGAGAAAGGACGGGACCACTGTTTGAGCCACCACATATATATTGTCATTCCTGTTAATAATTGATCAATTCTGCATACACTCTCATATGTGATTTCTCTCTCTGCAGAGATCTTGAACAGTCGGGGCCATATCGACATGGAGAACGGGTACGGCGCAACCGTAAACCGATGAACATTCAAACATCCATGCATCCATGTAGGAGTCAAAACAAACATAGAAGGGAGTGTCCTGGTAAAATGAGATATGAACTTTCTGGCCAATATACGCAACATTTTGGGTGAAGATAAATAATTAGAACGGACATAGTTGGTGGTAGTATCATGCTGTGGGGATGTGTTTTATCAACACACATAAAAAGGAGCAACAAGATGGATGTACGATTGCTAAAACTTTAGCTGTCGGTGTTTGGATCTAGAGAAAAACACCATACAAACATGAAAGAGTGTAGCTTTATTTATTAATGTTTAAATCACCTCTGTGTTTGCCACTTCAGCTGCAGAGCAAATCCCATCTATCAGAGCAGCAGGTGAGGCTGTGATCAAAGAGACCCAGAGAGAGACAGAGCGTCTGAGGGTTTCTGCCAGGTGGCTAATGGTTAACATGGTCCTATAATTGCTCAGTTGACATGACAGAAATGGAAGGGTCTTCTCTTTAAATCATATACATTTATTTCAACTGCCTCACACCATAAATCTGCCAATATTGTTTAACCGTGTCCTCCGCAGCACAATATTTTGTCATATTTGAATAGATAGCACAGGATCACTGTTTTACTTCCTGTACAACACCTTTTGTTGCACAACACTGAAGGCATCAATCATCATAACATCCATCCCTGTGAACTTTAAATTACACCTTTCCCTGACGCTCTCTGCAGGACATACGTTTTTCTCTAATACCCAACTTTTATATGCATCTCTGTTCAAACACTCCTAAATTATACTACTGCACCTTTGGAATGCAATAATCTTGAGGGTTTGTTTAATGACCTTTAGAAAGAGTTGGGAATTTAAGAAGTAAAAATTTAAGACTGTATGTTCTGTGCTTCACCTGTAAGAAGTTATGGAGCTACAAAAAACACTGCATTGGGTGAAAATGACTTAAATTTGTAAACAGGTAAATAAAATGTAATACATTACAGTTTAACTTTGTAGGACATAGCACTTATTGTGAAATGAAGCAAAACATAGCAATAAACAACTGTAATGACTTTTTGGGAGTGTTTTATTGAGTTATTTGACTTGGCAATAGTCCTTATTGTTTCTGCTACACAAAACCGCTCAAGCAACTATAACTATAGTAACTATTGAATAATGTGGAATTGATATTGAATCTTTTCTTTCAATATCAAAAAAGATTTGTTAGTGAGATCTTCTGTAAGGAAAAGTTTTGTCAATATTGTATTCATTCATTAATCCATGATTACGTTTTACCCAACTTTGACCTTTGAATTGTCCAGACTCAAAAAACAAATGCATT